ATGTTTGGTTGGAAGCCCATTGGAATACTTAAGCAATGGAAAAGAAAACTTACGATATTTGCTTCAAATTACGAACATTTTTATCCTGTCTTTCTGATATGGTTTTTTGCAAATTTGGCAGTCATCAATTAATATTTTTACTTATTTTTTCTGTACTCCTAAAACACCCTAGATGAGTGACGCCAATTTTGCATCTCCCTGCATATTTTTTTTTTCACTTCTATTTACCTTTGCGGATTTACTCTTAAACATATTAGAGAGCAAGTGTACGGCCAATAAGGGCAAGCTGTAATAAAGTTGGCGGTATTTTGACACATACGCTTGCTTAACTGAGTCTAAACATAAGGGATCTCTTAATAATGATAGCGTTCGGCGTACAGATTTATTTCGACCTGAAACTGACAGTTGACATTACTAACGTCAGCTTGTAGGTTATTTTATTGTGTGCCAACCTAGTTTATTGCCACGCGTTTTTTGCTTTTGAATAGAACTTTTTTCATATAAGCAATATCCGAAGGTTCACTCACGGACGTTTGTTCAAAAAGAAATATATTAATTCGACATTCTCATAACCATGCCGTTTATACGTAAATTCTCCAAAATTATATCCTCAATATTATCTTCACTTGCTCCGCTTGCGACTGCGGATTCTAATATTTCCTTCATGCTAACGATTAAGGTGAAATGTTCAAGGAGCCTCCAAAATTTGATAAGAAGGTAAACAAGAACAAGTCAACACAGCAAAACTAATTTAATGCTGTACGGTTAGGAACAGAGGTTAGGCTAAACACTTTGAACATTGAAAGCAGTCAACTGAAGACATTCCTAAAAGTAGCATTTTGTTAGTGAAATAAAGCCAATACGGTATTAAAATACGGATTAACCTTATTACTGCATGGCCATTATTCATAACTTCCAATAACTCTCTATTACTCGTATTTACGCAATATTAATGATAAAAACGTTATTTACAAGTGCTAATAAAATAGATTGACGCAAACTTTTTTGGAGATAACCGCAGTTTTTAATAAGAATAATTCTTTCAAGTATTAGTTTAAGTCCTTTTTAAATTACCTGCCGGAATGATGCCAATTTTGAATCACCCTATATACAACCGACTCACATAATTTAATTCTTCTTTGTACGAGAGCTGCGTCCAATTTAAGGCACCGCCGAAATACTTTCAAGACGCCGGGACGTTTTCTGGTTAGGCCAAGACTCCGTAATTCGTTAAGTTTTCGGCTGCGGAACTCTGGAAAGTGATAATTATCGCGAAGAGCTCTTTTACCACCTGACAGCCAAAAGCTCTAATTGCAAAGCTGTCAAGAGTTCGCGGGCGCCTTTGTTCCAATATAACTGTCACTAGTCACATCTTAGTAATAATTACAACTCGAGCGTGTAGTAAGTTTGTAGACTTCACAGTTGAGTTGTTCAGCTAATTTTGTATTCTGGGTCTTCTTAATTTGTTTCCTCTGGAAAGTGTTCGTTTCAGTTAAGAACCAGACTGGCTCAAAATTACGAAAGAAGCCAATTGCTGGTAAATCAATCAATGCGTTGTGTGTTAATTACAACTAGTGATAACATCTTTAACTACTTGGACAGTAGTCAGTTAGCAACAAATTTTGCAGTACTTAGAAAAATCTGTATTTGATGAATTAAGATCTGTTAGTTGAATGGCAAAATACATAAATCAATACCGGGAGTATTGGGAGTATTGCTCTAATTAGAGAATCTAGAAATATAACTGGAAGCATTCAGAAGCGGGTAGCGGTATTTTATTTTCACACTTTAGTTTGGACCGTTTTTCTATACTGCTATTTGCAGCTGATTCAAATTAAACAATTTTATTGAACCATTAAAATGGGTCTAATACAAGGTGAAAAAAGTTGACCTCATGTGGTGCTCAACCTATCTATGGGGATTCATTAAGAATGGGAAATGCAGAAGCCTGAAAACAGGAGATACTACAGGCTTTTTTATCATTATGTGCTCGACAGCCGTCATATGCAGATAGCTATTCTTGCAGCGTCCAAAACAACCAACAGTAAGTCCCATTTGGAGTAAAATATACTCGTCTAGCTTCGTCTGCGATGAAAGTATCTGACCAGTGAATTCGTTTAAAAACCACGTGTTTCTGAAAACAACAAATTTACCTGTGCAGCTGTCGAGACACAGTCTCCCATCGTCGTGGTGTATCCTGAGAAGACGAACAACATGGAAAGCAAAAACACAAATCACAAAAAAAGATAAAAGCAGAAAGTGAAAATGAACTTAGCCCAGATGATAAAACGGGACGGGGCGCAACGCAATTTTCGGACGAAGAATCCGCTCTCCTAGTCGAGAACGAGTTCTTAAAAATCCGACCCCTAGAACCTATCCAAATGAACCAAATTCTTCAAAACACATAGGGTACTCTCCAAAAAGAAGTTCTCCAGTTTTCCCGCACTCAACAATTCGCTCAAGAAACGATTCCACGACTGAATCTACCTTGGAAACAGCCTAAGTACCCCAACAACCCATGGAAGCTCAGGAAGCGTGGAATTTTATTGCCAACTCCAACCCCCAATACTAAACCGGAAAAATTCCAATAATAATCGTAAACCCCGCAGGCTGGCCTAATACCCAGGATGTTTAATCCCAAAGAAAATCACCATCCAAACCCCCAAATAATCTGCCCACGGCATTTCCATATACCCCACGGAAGCATCAAACCACAATCCCATAATCCAGCTTCTCAAAACCAGTAAAATTCAGCATTGCTCCTACATGCCCCAAGAAGACAGGAATTTTTTTTTGAGCGTGTATACCAATAGATGTTCTGGGGTTCTCCTCAGAACAAGCACACATTTTACGGCTTGAGCATTCCAAAAAAGTCTCATATCTCTAATCTGCAAAACCTCTCGGTGCTTGTTGAGCTCAAAGAATTTGCCCTTTTTAACATTAAACACATTCCGCAGTATAAAACTCAGAAATTCGGACACACACTTTCCTCTCAGGTGGCTCCAACCTTTCCTATCACAGTGCGTAGGATCCCACTTTTACAAAACCTGCACCAAAACCACAGAAACTCCAGCTCTAACTGCGGATGGCCTCACCCTACCGATTATTTCAATTCTTCAAAAAACCGTAACCTCAAATTTAAAAATGAGGCATTTCTAAATATTTCTAATTCATTTCTGTGAATCGTCTGCGAAGAGCCTGTAGGACACGTCTTTCGCTCTCCTTATTCGCCTCTATTATTACTCCATCTTCTGGTGGTCTGTTGTCCTTCCTTTGGTATAGAGCACCATCAATCTCAGATTTTGTTATATCTGGAATGTATTCGGAACCTTCGTTTTGCACATATGGAATGGAAAAAAAAACCCACCCAAATTCCTAACCATTTAACCCGCAGTTGTCTCAATTACTGCTGCTCCCAGAAGCGGAAATTGAACTCAAAATCAATTTGATTGCGGCTTTAATCTCAAGAAACCCAATCCTAAAATCCTTAGCATAAATCTTCCCAATCTACTCCCGCCTTTTCCAAATGGCTAGAGGGCCTGCTACTTCAGAAAGTAGAAATGCAAGATCAAACTAAGAAGTGACTGCACTCATGAAAGAACAAAAGTTCGAAAGAACTAGCTTGAGAAAAGTATTGACGACAACAGACAAATCAAAAGGTGGCTATTGTTGCAAGAATGCCTTCTCCGGAAGTTGATAATTTCGGAGACTTCTTCTTCTTATCTCGCCGTCCCCTTGCGAAGGTTGGCGATCCAAATGACCGGTTTTTTTTGGAAACAGCTGCTTGGAAAATCTCTTTGGATGTGCGCCCAAACCTCCTGCGAATGCCCTTCAGCCATAAGTTCTGGCGGCTTCCGATGGCTCCTTTTCCCTGAATCTTCCCTGCGATGATGAGATTCAGGACTTCGTATGGACTGCTCCTCATAATATGTCAAAGATACTGTGTTTTGCTTTCTTTCATCGTTTCGGAGACACAGGGTGTTAATCATTATTTTCATTCCTTTATACGACGTGCTTTTTACATTCCTTTTTACGACTCGTTGAGAGGTGTCTCACCAATCAAGGAATAATAGATGTATGTATTTTTGCACAAGAAACTTTCAATGGCTTTGCCTCAGCTCAAAGATATTATCATATGTATCCCAGCCGAAGACAGCTTAAGCTTGAAACTGTTTAAAAATTTGTACGGTTGACTGGGAGAAACATCATTCCATTAGAGTTATAATAACACCCCCTAAAAAGAGTTTTTGTTGAGCTTTGGGAACAGAAGGTTAAATGAAGAGTTACTAAAAAAACTCGTTTTCAAGTAGTGCAGCAGGTGTTACTGAGAATTCGAAGTTCGAGTTCGAAGAATTCTGGAAGAAATAAAACATGTCGATTTTGTTTTATTATTGCTAGTTTACGCTTCCTCTATTTTCTGCAAGAACAAGAAACCAACAATGGTTTTAACTAATCATTTATTCCCAATTTTGTGCTCTTTGGAAATTTCTGGATTATTCACAGGTTTTGCGTGATAAAATTATGTCTGTTTTCTTGTAAAAGTTAGGTCAGATCGTCTTTTTTGATGTAAAGTATATCGCAGGATCCTTTTGATCATGTGCATACAGGACACCCTGTATGTTAGATTTTTCATAAGGAACTCGCCCTATATATAAAACATTTTCAACCATAACAGAAAACGTGCTAAAGTTTTTCCAGAGACCAAAGAAAATACACAAATAAAAGCTAAAATAAGTTCCACTTTCACACATCTACCCGCTTCAACCATATATAACATGGGCAAATGTACTATATGTTTTTATGAATTTTACGAGAAACGAGGACGAAAATTGAACCACCAAGAGGATATTGAAAACGCATGAATGGAATGAAAGTTAGGAAATTTTGTTTGGTGCTCAACTCAGTGCTCACTGTTTTTGATATTTAACTAAAAATATTAGCAAAAAAACATCTTATTGTTACAGTGCTGACACACCTACAGTTTAGACATTTTTTTCTAGGTCCGAGAACTCGACGAATCAAGAAACCTGGCACGAAAGCAGCAGTTCCGGAAGAGAAGCGACCTCGTACCGCTTTTTCTGGGGCGCAACTGGCGCGACTTAAGAACGAGTTTGCTGAGAACCGATACCTGACGGAACGTAGACGACAGCAACTGAGCGCTGAATTGGGCCTCAATGAGGCTCAGATTAAAATCTGGTTCCAGAACAAACGAGCCAAAATTAAGAAAGCTTCGGGCCAGAAAAATCCGTTGGCTTTGCAATTAATGGCACAAGGACTGTACAATCACAGTACCATACCGTTGACGAAAGAAGAAGAGGAGTTGGAGAAATTGCAGTCACAAGGGAAAATTTCGTAGGGAGAGGTTTGATCTAACTTTCGAGTTGTTTTGTGATATACATAGACCTAAATATAGTAAGGACTTAAGCAACATTGATAGTTACTTTTACATTAATTATTTGATAAGGCTTCAAAAAGAGCTCGTAGTATTCAAAACAAAAACTCAAAAAATTAAAAGTTTTAATGTGTTTGGGTACAAGTTCCAGCAATTCAAAAATAGACCACGATAGGTTAGATTTCCATAGCGATTATCGAATAAAATTTCTAATTATGTAGCGCATTTTCAGGACGATATAAAATATATTTGCATCGTATTGCACCATAAAAAATAAAACTACAGACACTGTTCAGTTTGATGTTCAGGAAATGTTGATGTATCTCTAAACACAGTAATCAGGTTTTACTCATCATAAAGATTTTACTTTAAATGAATCGTATTGAAGTTGCGCTAGAATCGATTCGAAGCAAACTGGCGATTTCAAGTTCAGACAAATATATTATACTCTAAATGCAATAACGAAATCGTCATCACTTATTATTTGCTTGGCAAAGTTCCGGTCAGTTTTAAATTAAAAAGTGAGATTAAAAAGTAAGTAGGTCTGCGCCACACACAAAGCAATTGTGTTTAAATGAAGTTGGATATTCGCATAAATTTGTTTTTTGTGCAAGATCGATGCCCTGTCGATTCTCTGAGAATCGAAGAATTAAGTAGTAATGTTAAGGAATAACAAAAAGTGGTTCTTTGTGTTTGGTACTCTACTAGTCTAAAAATATCCGACTCAAATTTCTTAACGTGATTTGTAGAAAATGTTGTCAAATGGAATACTTTGCCTTCCGAGCAAATTTTAGAGAACAAGAGCAAAAATACAAATACAATTAATTTTTGATTATAAAACATTTCATACTAACTGAACTAACTGGTATAAATGTGTGAATTAGGCGTGGGTAACACTGTATTGAGTTGCGCTATTGAGTTGTTGGCGCTCTCTGAGCTAACGAGTTGTAACTCATCGGTTAATGAGTTATTAAAGCTTTACGAGACCCGAGACGGGAATGTTCACATTTAAAAAAACGGTCATCAACATTTTTTCTGAGTACTGTTTTACTACTGTTCAAACAACTAAAAAAATCTTCTAGATTTTCCCAGCAACAGAAGAGTCCAAAGAAAGTCGACGATTTTTCATGTAAAATCCATCTCCTAATTTTCTTGCTTAAAAGATTCAGTTTGCCAGTATTTTACAGTAAAATTGCGATTTTTCTGTTCAGGGACAGTGTTGTTTAGAAGGATTGACCTAAAGGTGAAGAAACGCCAATTTCCAAGAGTTTTCCAAATAATTGATTATAAACTATCGCTTTTTCAGTTCGGCCAAATATTTTTGGACAAAGACCCAAACAAAATTATTAGGATTTTCCGACAATTTTGGCAAAGCGCCTAAGGAGGCGAGTGATCCAATAAAATGTAACTTATAATTTTTCACGAAAATACCTGGAAATTATCAGTATTTTAAGTAAAACTAAAAAATACTACAATTTTTGCGTAGAAAAAAATGCTTAAAAAACCTTTGTTAAAACTGGAATGACCTGAAAGTTGAAACTTTAAAAATATCTTCAGATCAATAAGAGGGGCGAATTTTCCAAAAAAAATGTTTGTAAACTTTTGCTCTGGTCTTTTTTTCAAGATAATCCTAATTACTTTCGGTGAAAAGCTGAATAAATTTAGTCGGTTTTTGTGCCAAATTCGAAGCTGAAATGGGTTTTCTAAAGTTGCCAACAGATGAATGAGACGAATTTTCGAGCAAAATTAATTTTGTCATTTTTGACTTAAAGGACCCAATTATTATCAGAAAAGAAGAAAATAATCAGAGAATAATGGCTTTTAGAGTTATCGATTAAAAATTTTTAGTTTTGTGATCGGTTTTTTAGAAAACATTAATAGTTTTCGGGGAAAACGGGAGGAATTTATTTTCGTTTTTGTCACGAATTTGAGGCTGAAAAAAGTTTAGTAATTTGTCGCCTCCATTTTAAGACGATCAGATCGTCAGTATTTTGAAGGGAAACTCTGCAAAATAGAGCGTTTTTGAGTAGAAAGTAAAGCAAAAAAAATTCAGTCAAAACTAAAAAGGTGATGAGATTTCCAAATAATCTGTTATATCTTTCGCTTACTGTGTGCGTTTTTTGATAGAAATTTATTTAATTTTTGTCACAAATTCGAGGCTGGAAAGGGATTTAAAAACTTTTTACAAAGCGAAAATGCCTTAAGATTTTCAGCATTTTTAAGTGAAACTTTAGAAAATTGAGTATTTAGAAGAAAGAGTAACTAAGCCTAGAACTGGAAAATTCTGAAATTTTGTATAACTTTTAAAAATGTTATTAATAAATGGCCCTTAAAATAAATCTAAAAACGAGTTAAAAATGTATCAACATTTTACCAGCAACTGAACTGAGTTACTGCGCTGTTGCGTTGGGGTGGCGCACCAAGCCATTTGCAAAGCACTGCGCCAACTCCTAAAAATTCACTGTGTTACCCAGGCTTAGTGTGACTGGCTAACTGTCATGTTTTTTATTCGATAACTTTGATGTGATTTCCCAATGAGAGGAGCAAATTTCAACGGGTTTGTTAACAGATTTTGTGTTGATTTGAATAATTTTTTGTTTTTAAATCAAATTTAAAGTGGTATAATAGTTAATCTGTTGAAAATCCACACGCTAAATGTCTGCTTCTTCATTTTAAAAACCCATTTTCCGTCAGTGTCTCGACAAGTCTTGTTTGGCCTTCTTATTCTTGATATCGGTTCTTTTGCATCTAAATATCAAGCAAAAATGTAGCTTCTTCAAGATCACTCCATTTCAGAAAAGAAATAAGTACGGTTATTTGTGGGAAAAACGTTTACAAATAAATGGATTGGCCGAAGTGGTCCAGTACTATAACCTTCAAGATCACCAGACCTAACGTCATGTGACTTCTCCTTGTGGAGTCATAACATTTTTGCACTCCTGTTGACACAAGAGAGTAATTCATTATGCAAAGAAGAAAATATAACACAAACTAGAGGCAAGCGAGCTTCGACAGATCGTCGATGACCGATTGCTGGTTTCATCACTCTGTATCAGAACTTGCCTATTTGGAAAATCAGATAAATAAAAATAATCTTTACTTTGAAACAGGCCAGTGCGGATTTCGGACCTGCATCCCAGGACCGGTTTCAAGCCTATTAGCTTTCAACAGCTGAGTTCGGCCTCAAATTAGCGATTCCGAAACCTGCACTTTATTATACATATAAAGTCCTAAAGCCTAAAAATCCGCTGGCAATAATTCCTATACCTTTCGACAATTAAATGCATCTTCAGTTATTGCGTTTTATCAGTGTTAAGTTGGTCACTTTAAGATTTGCATGAACTGATGCGACGGAATAATGCTTCGTTGTGATAAAACGCTGCGCTTTCCGTTTGCCCAGCATCGTAACTTTGTTACGCAACAACGAATGTTACTGTTTCGTATGTCTATGCGCGCCTTTCTTTATATTAACTTTATTTAAAAAATAAACTCAAAGACAATGTTGGGAATTCACACTGAAGTATTCGACTACTGTCGTTAAATCAAACAATTAAGTTCTCATATAGTTATCGCGCCAAATTCTTCTCTTCCTCAAAAACATTCATGTGTGCACATTTTGGAAAGTATTGAATGTAATGTCACATTGAGCAAAATGAAGTAAATATAGGATATTTAAGGCACAATTATACATAGTTACTTGAAGTGTAATATTGCCTATCTCGATGTAATGTAGCTTAACCATGTAAATACTTGTAAATAACCTTAACACATTGTTACGCGATCAAAATATTTATTATTTGTCTGGAAAGACTACTTTGTCAGATTATAGTGTTTGCAAAAAATATTTATAACTAGAGATTTTTGTATAATTAGTTCAAGGTACTTAGTATAGTTGAACTTTGAATTGTGTTCTGTAGATAATGTCTTATTTGATGTATAGAGTTTCCGTCTTTCAAAAATTGTGTAAAAATATTTATTAAAGTGGTACAATAAAATTAAAGTGTTTTATTTTAGAGATAATTTCAGTGCGACATCTTTTTGAGTGGCTCTAATTGGAGAAACTCTAGCAAGTCGAACTCTCGGGGTTCTCGGCGAAGGCTTGGTATTTTGCGATGATAGAAAGGAAATTTAACGACGAAAAACTTTTCTCTGGCCTGTGAAAGCCTTTCGTGTTCCATAGTCAAATGTCTGTATTAATGCAAGTTGATTTGGTTAAACTTATAGCTATTGCTGAAGGGAATATTTCTGTATAAAACCCCATGGGGTCTTCAAGTCGCAGAGGTTCTTCCTCTTCAAGTCGCAGATGTGACATTATTATTTCCATCTGTTTCACATCGTTTTCTTTATCGTCGATCATTCTGATGTTAATTAAACCGGTTTGAACGTGTCGCTTAGCGCAAAGCGGCCCTAAGTTATCAAAATAGGACAATACAACTTTGGAGCAATAGAAGTTGTTGACGTTAGATGGTGGAGAATACTTAATTTTTCAATTTGATAAATGTGGGTCTCTTAGCAAATGATTTCATTCAACGGAGTTCTCTTTTTTGGAAATCAGCATTTTTCAAGGTAACGCAAGTAGCAATTTCAAAATTTCAGCATCTTTTGAAGACAGTAGGAATACAATAAGATACTGGAAGTTTCAAGCAAATCGCCCAGAATCCTGATTTTGGCGAGTTTAGGAAATGTTGGTCTTAAAATCTATGCGGGAACTCAAAAGCTTTCTCTTTTTCTGTTTTAAT